CATGTATTTCTTTGGCCTACCCCTCCTATCATTGTGTTTTCCCTTCTTCCTTTTTTGGTTTGCTCTGCCCTCTCCTCCCTATGTACTTTGAATGTTGCAGGTCTCAGCCATCAAGAGCTTACAATCTATAAATATACTTCTCAATAGAGTGAACATGTTCTTCTTGCCGGCTGCATAAAGCTGTGCAGGTATTCAGTTGGAAGTGAATTGATCTGTTTGTAAAGCTTTTGTGCCGCGAGGCTGTTTTTCCTTCGAAGAGAATATACAGAAGCATATCCTTCGTCAGCCTTATGTAAGGGTTAGGCACGCTTTCAGGCCCTACCTCGCTCGGCATATTAATCACTGGATGGCCCTGCGCACGCAGCGATCGGCTGAGGATTCACGTTGCACCGGCCTTGGTCTAGAAAACACTGGCAGATTTTTCATGTACGTTGCCTCTGACCTATTTCAGTGTTGCTGTGACAAGGATCGTGCATTATCTGAGCCGAGGCAGCGATATCTCACCGACAATGTATATCTCTTCTTACTTCTCCTAATTACGCCTGGAAATTAATTGCAGGCTTTACAACAAGCAGATTGCTGATCATTTATTTTGACTTTTCAAGAAGCTATTTTTACATGACGATTAAACGTGAAAAATGGATCCCACTGCAAAACTTAAACAATTTTCTCTAATTAGATTGTGTTAATTAAGCTGGTATTTAAGGGCGCCGTGCGTCTGCAATTATTCGCGATACAAATGTACTGTACTTTCTACGGATATAGTATGCGTATTCTATTTATATCACAAAATATAGAATTCAAAATAAAAAATATATATATACTGTTGTCATCAACAGAAAGCTATAATCAGCTTATAATTTATCAGATATGTATGTGATAAATAAAAACAGCAGGGGGCGCTATTTGAGTGTAGCAAGTATGGTACATTTTTTAAATGTACCATACTCCCCTGACGACATAATTGAGGACGAAACACATAGGGACAAGCCAAAGAGCATGACATCAGCACGCTCCGGCACATGGCGGCCATCTTCTTGGTTTGAAACGTACCGTTCATTTATATGGTGACATGCTGTTTTACATTCTTTTTTGATGTACGTTTTTTACTACATTTAAGGCAATACATTTAATTCACCTTACTACACTATGAGGATTATTCTTGCATTTTGAATGGGGTTGTCCTCCAATACATGTACAGAATAATATATACAATATATATATATATATATATATATATATATACTGTATATACATCTTGATATTCAGATCTTTTCATGTATTTCAGTCTACTTGAAATCTTTTAAGCATCTCATCCACAACACATTTCTATAAATCCTTAACTCCATCTCTACTCTTCCAGTCTACCCAAGGTTTCCACTGGTAATTGAATCTGCCAATTTTATTTTTTCTAATGAGCTAGGAGATGTTCATATACATAATTTGTTTTTAAAATGTATTTATTATTTATTTCAGGTACTTATATAGCACCATCATTGTACACAGTGCTTTACATATATATTGCACACATCATTCACATCAGTCCCTAACCCTCAAGGAGTGTATGATCTAAGGTCCCTAACTCACATACATACACATACAGTGGGGCAAAAAAGTATTTAGTCCCCACCAATTGTACAAGTTCTCCCACTTACAAAGATGAGAGAGGCCTGTAATTGGCATCATAGGTAGACCTCAACTATGAGAGACAAAATGAGAAAACAACTCCAGACAATCACATTGGCTGATTGGGAAATAATTTATTTGCAAATTATGGTGGAAAATAAGTATTTGGTCACCTACAAACAAGCAAAATTTCTGGCTCTCACAGACCTGTACCTTCTTCTTTAAGAGGTTTCTCTGTCCTGCACTCATTACCTGTATCAATGGCACCTGTTTGAACTTGTTATCAGTGTAAAAGACACCTGTCCACAACCTCAAACAGTCACACTCCAAACTCCACTATGGTGAAGACTAAAGAGCTGTCAAAGGACACCAGAAACAAAATTGTAGACCTGCACCAGGCTGGGAAGACTGAATCTGCAATAGACAAGCAGCTTGGTGTGAACAAATCAACTGTGGGAGCAATAATTAGAAAATGGAAGAGATGTGGCCATAGCCCTAGCTGAGTCCATCCCCAAGCACAGGAGTATTTAGGTTTGCTGTTTTTCGAGGTTGGTGGAGAGCCTGGTGGACAGGGCATGACGTCACTTCCTGAAACATCACTAAGGGGGTGTGGCTACATGTTTTAAGGCCTCCTAATCTCTTTCTAAAGCCAAGGTTTGGCTTGATTTTAGGATGTAGGAAAACTACTCTGATGGCTGTTTATTATATAGTTTTTTTCTTTTTTTTTCTTTTTTAAGGCTTGTACATGACATAATAACATGATTTGGGATGTGTTTAGAAACAGACAGATTCTCTGCTACATGGGCAGGCTCTGCTTCCTACTTCATACTAGTACTGAACAGTGAAGTGCTTTACTGCATTTCACTTGATGTGCACATTTATAGGTCTGGTCTGCCTGATTGTAAAAAAAAAAAAAAAAAGAATCTCTATAACTGTAAATGAGTTTATTTTGTGAATCTAAAATGATAACTGAAGCTATTAACCACTAAAGCCCTGGAAGGTTTTACCCCCTTCATGTCCAGGGCATTTTCTCCTATTTAGCACTGAGCTACTTTACAACAAAAACATTAAGAACAAAACAAGGACTTCTCTAGAGCTTCCCTCATCCTCTGGAACTCTCTACCTCAATTTATCTGACTATAGCCTACTCTGCTCACTTTTAGGTGATCTCTGAAAGCTGATTTCTTCAGGGAAGCCTATCCTGCCCTCAGCTGCTAACAGAACCTTCTTTTCCTTCTACCAGTCCATCCCCCACAGTTATTACCTTTTGTACCACCAGCCCCTCCCTCTTAGATTGTAAGCTCCCAGGATCAGGGCCCTCCTATCCCTCTTGTATTGAACTGTATTGTTGCTGTATTGTCTCCCGTTATATTGTAAAGCACTGAGCAAACTGTTGGTGCCATAAATCCTGTATAATAATAATAATTATAATAATGATAATAATAATAATAAAAACAAGCAGTTATCCCTTGCATTGGGGGAACAGCCTCACTGCGTGGGACAAAAGAAATATTACATGGAGTTCTGCTTTAAAGCGGAAAATAAATTAAATGTCAGCAGCTAAAAATTCTGTAGCTGCTGATTTTTAATATTAGGGCACCTTCCTGCCCAGGGATCCAGCAACATCCTCACCCTGAGCCAATTCTACAATCGGCAGTCGGGTACTGGCGCCGCCATCTTGACTAAGGGATATAGGCAGTGAAGCCTTGTGGCGCCACACTTTGTGAATGGGCCGTAGTCCTCTGGGACCTGTGAAATGTCCAGGGAGGCCTGCACTTCCGGAAGTTGGAGTGGGTACCTGTCAAAACCAGGTCGGGTTCTGGCACCGTCATCTTGACTAAGGGAAATTGGAAGGGAAGCCTTGTGGCACCACACTTTCCGAAGGGGCCGCAGTCCTCTGGGACCTGTGAAATGTCCAGGGAGGCCTGCACTTTCAGAAGTTGGAGCAGGTACCTGTCAAAACCAGGTACCTGCTTCCTCGAAAGGTGCCAAAGGTGGCAACGGAGGGTGAAGGGGGAGGAGGAAGATAAGTAAAGCTTTTGAATGAAATTAGTTGACTTGATGGTAAAAAAGAATGTTCTAACAATCAACTTGTTTTAGAATTTTCCTATGAACTAAAAACAAACCATGTGTGACCAGCTGGGACCTGTGAAATGTCCAGGGAGGCCTGCACTTCTGGACGTTGGAGTGGGTACCTGTCAAAACCAGGTCAGGTACTGGCGCCGCCATCTTGACTAAGGGATATAGGCAGTGAAGCCTTGTGGCGCCATGTTTTGTGAACGGGCCGTAGTCCTCTGGGACCTGTGAAATGTCCAGGGAGGCCTGCACTTCCGGAAGTTGGAGTGGGTACCTGTCAAAACCAGGTTGGGTTCCGGCACCGTCATCTTGATTAAGGGAAATTGGAAGGGAAGCCTTGTGGCACCACACTTTGCGAAGGGGCCGCAGTCCTCTGGGACCTGTCAAATGTCCAGTGAGGCCTGCACTTCCAGAAGTTGGAGCGGGTACCTGTCAAAACCAGATACCCGCTTCCTCGAAAGGTGCCAAAGGTGGCAACGGAGGGGGAAGGGGGAAGGAGGCAGATAAGTAAAGCTTTTGAATCAAATTAGTTGACTTGATGGTAAAAAAGAATGTTCTGACGATCAACTTTTTATTAGACTTTTCCTATGAACTAAAAACAAACCATGTGTGAGCAGCTGAAGTTACTGTGTGTAGAATCCCCTGATATACAAATACTAGAGGGAGTATTAGTACGCATATATAGAAACAATAACAACATGGAACAGCAAGAAAGCATGCTAACACCCTGATAAAAAAAAAACACAATTATTTCATTTTTATTGAAATATCTCCAATGATGTCATAAAAAAAAACCTCAAAAGTACAATAATATTCAAGTTGTTCTGAAATATATCCACATTTTCTTTCTGATATGGCTTTCTAATACAGGTCCATGATGCAATATACAGTAGGTGTGCCATTTCCTCCGTGAGTAGTTTTTTTACAACTAATATAAAAACAAAAAAAATCCTGGTGAGGTTACCTTAGGAATAGCAAAAAAATAGCAGATTCCTGTTTGTAAATGGGTCAGCGGCATAAATATGATGATAGACCTAGATTTTCACTGTGCAGGTGATGTCTGTTCCAATATTACAGTCCATGTCAGACATTAGACAGAGCAAACGCTGAGGAGGAAACATCACAAGTCTCATGTTGAAACTTGAAGAGACATAAATATATAAATTGTTAAATATATATATGTATCCCTTCCTTTAGATTGTAAGCTCCACAAGCAGGGCCCTCCTATTCCTTCTATGCTGAAATGTATTGTAATTGTATTGTCTCTCGTTATATTGTAAAGCACTGAGCAAACTGTTCCATTCCATGAAGCTCTCTACACACTGTTGTTGGGCTCATCTGAAGACCACACCAAGTTTGGAAGTCTTTAGCTATTGACTCTGCAGACAGTTGGCAACTTCTGCACACTGTGCGCTTCAGCATGCGCTGACCCCGCCCTGTCATGTGACGTGGCCTACCACTTGGTGGCTGAGTGGCAGTTGCTTCCACTTTGTTATAATCCCACTAACAGTTGAGCGTGGAATATTTAGTAGCCAGGAAATGTCCCGGATGGACTTATTGCACAGGTGGCCACCTATCACGGAACCACGCTTGGAATCACTGAGCTCCTGAGAGCAACCCTGTCAGGGCCTGGAATTGAACCTGGGCCTTCTGCGGTGGGAGACGGTGTTTCTTCTCGCTGAGCCACCTGGAATGCTGGACAGCCCCCTTGACAATTCTTTGGATGATCCTGCCTTTGCCCTGTTTTGTCTTGAACCTTGAACTCCTTGCTCCTCCCATGAACTTCCTATAAAAGCCATGTCTCTGCACTTCCTGGTTGCCAGATTATTGTGCCTTACCAGCCAATATCCCGCTTACTGTTCCTGCTGCCGTCTTCATCTACGTTACCGACCTTTGACTTGCTACTGACTATGATTCTGCCTCATCCTATCTACTACCATTGGTGACCGACCCTTGGCTTGTGACTGACTCCGCTTCTGTTTGATCCCTGAACTGTTTGATCCGCTTTTGGTTTCCAGCCTACTCATTCCCTGGTGGGGTGATCCTGAGATCTGCGACCTGGCATTCACACGCAGCCAAATCCATCTCCACCATTAGGAGCTCTGGGCAATACCGGTGGATGCTTAGATCCCGCACCTCAGGTGAGCCTGCGTCATTCCCAGGGTGGGCCGCTGGTGTACCAATCCTGCTGGTTTCAGGTAAGCCTTACAACTGCTGTAGCAACTGGTCTCTGAACCTGACCCAGATCGTGACAGACCCATTCTTTCACCAATGTTTGTAGAAGCAGTCTCCATGCCTAGGGGCTTGATTGTATACACCTGTGTCCATGGAGGGGATTGGAACACCTGAATCACATGACTTGGAGGGCGGCCCAATACTTTTGGCAATATAGTGTAGCTCATGATCATGTGTGAGTGGGGGGGGGGGGGGCTGTATCTGGGGTCCTTACTGTTATTAAAGGGGGATTCCAGTAAAATCCCCACCTGAGAACCCCCACAACCACCTGCCAGGGTTGTGGGGAAGAGGACATGGCAAGGTAACCACTCCCAAAATTTCAAGGCATGTAGCCCAGTACAGTTCCAGAGAGAGGGTGCACTGGTATATTGGTACAATTTCCCCAAGGCAGTGCCCAACCCCATTCTATTGTTTTACATCCCTTTGCCTATTGGCCCAGAATAAAAAGGAATTTTCAATTTGCCAGATTCAACTACTATGGGTTTTTCCAATCCAAACTTCTATGAAGTTCATTTGAACCGTACCCGGGGTATTTTGGCTCATACTTGTGCCACTAATTTACAATAACCACCTTGTGCATGGAAAGCCCGTGTCTGTGCCACCATCTTTGGCCATAATAGTCAGCAATATGACAGTCATTAGTCCTTGCCCGCCACCGGTCCTTGTATGCTGTATTATCAAACTGGAAGAGTCGTCTATCTGCCGGAGCGTATCGTTCCTCCTCATACCGCCTTCATTTCCAACCTCGTCTGCTCCGATCATCTCCATAAATATTTGTTCCTCCTCATACCGCCTTCATTCCCAACCTTGTCTCTTCCGATCATTTCCAAAAATATTCGCTCCTCCTCATACTGCCTTCATTTCCAACCTTGTCTGTTCTGATCATCTCCGGAAATATTTGTTCCTCCTCACGCCGCCTTCATTTCCAACCTCGTCTGTTCCGATCATCTCCGGAAATATTTGTTCCTCCTCATTCCCAACCTCGTCTGTTCCGATCGTCTCTGGAAATATTCATTCCTCCTCATTCCCAACCTCGTCTGTTCCTATCGTCTCCGGAAATATTCATTCCTCCTCATTCCCAACCTCGTCTGTTCCGATCATCTCTGGAAATATTCGTTCCTCCTCATGCCGCCTTCATTCCCAACCTCATCTGTTCTGATCATCTCCAGAAATATTCATTCTCCTCATATAGCCTTAATTTCCAACCTCGTCTGTTCCAATCATCTCCAGAAATATTCGTTCCTCCTCATACCGCCTTCATTTCCAACCTCGTCTCTTCTGATCATCTCCGGAAATATTCATTCCTCCTCATACCCAACGTCGTCTGTTCCCATCATCTTCGGAAATATTTGTTCCTCCTCATACTGCCTTCATTCCCAACCTCGTCTGTTCCGATCGTCTCCGGAAATATTCGTTCCTCCTCATTCCCAACCTCGTCTGTTCCAATCATCTCTGGAAATATTCGTTCCTCCTCATATCGCCTTCATTCCCAACCTCATCTGTTCCAATCATCTCCGGAAATATTAATTCCTCCTCATACCCAACCTCGTCTGTTCCAATCATCTCCGGAAATATTCGTTCCTTCTCATATGGCCTTCATTCCCAACATCGTCTGTTCCGATCATCTCCAGAAATATTCGTTCCTCGTCTGTTCCGATCATCTCCAGAAATATTCGTTCCTCGTCTGTTCCGATCATCTCCGGAAATATTCGTTCCTCCTCATTCCCAACCTCTTCTGTTCTGATCATCTCCTGAAAGATTTACATATTCATTAACTTTATTAAACCTCGTTAACATAACCGGTTTGATATTTATGTGCGTTGGGCTCCGGCAGATCGTTCTGATTTAGTAAGTGATAGGCCCGTATTAACTGCACAGTTGTTCGTTTATTGATTGATGGGGCTCCAATCATCGCACAATGGGTTGAATTATGATTGTGTATCATGGCGCATTATCTGCCTCGCCTGGCATTGTTTCGGGCTGACGGGTGCCTGGCAGGGAGGGGGGGGGGGGAGTAGTTTGTCATGACACAGTTTACAAACATATGACAGACAAATCCACCACCATCTGCACCTTGTAAGATGATTAGTCTGTACATGGCTTTACTTAAATATGGACTCCTCTCATAATCTTATCACTCATACAACCCCAGAAAATAAGCCGCCGACGCCGTACTCGCAGAAAGGCAATTAACCCTTTTATGGCAGAGAGATAAAACAACCCGCACGGAAGAAACATATATTTTAAAAATATTCCTTCCAAATATATTGATGTTTATTTGAGATGCTACAATTTTGGCCGTATTCAATATATTTCAAAATATATATTTAAATAAAGAGAGAAATATATATATATATATATATATATATATATATATATATATATATATATATATATATATATATACACAGTGAGGCAAAAAAGTATTTAGTCAGCCACCAATTGTGCAAGTTCTCCTCCCACTTACAAAGATGAGAGAGGCCTGTAATTGGCATCATAGGGAGACCTCAACTATGAGAGACAAAATGACAAAACAAATCCACACAATCACATTGGCTGATTTGGAAAGAATTTGGTGAATATGAAAAGTTCATCTCAATACTTTGTTATATATCCTTTGTTGGCAATGACAGAGGTCAGACGTTTCCTGGAAGTCTTCACAAGGTTGGCACACACTGTTGCTGGGATGTTGGCCCATCCTCCATGCAGATCTCCTCTAGAGCAGTGATGTTTTGGGGCTGTCGCTGGGCAACACGGACTTTCAACTCCCTCCAAAGGTTTTCTATGGGGTTGAGATCTGGAGACTGGCTAGGCCACTCCAGGACCTTGAAATGCTTCTTACGAAGCCACTCCTTCGTTGCCCGGGCGGTATGTTTGGGATCATTGTCATGTTGGAAGACCCAGCCATGTTTCATCTTCAATGCCCTTGCTTATGGAAGGAGGTTTGCACTCAAAATCTCACGATACATGGCCCCATTTATTCTGTCCTGTACATGGATCAGTCCACTACACCACCAATACGCCACTACTACACCACTACTACACCGCTACTACACCACCACTACACCACCACTACACCACCACTACTACACCACTACACCACTACTATACCACTACTACACCACCACTAACATCAAGGGGTTAATTGAGTGCCCACCGATGTGTAATGTGTGTATTATGTGCTGCTTTTACTAAAAGATCTCTTTGTTTCTTATTGTTCCCTCCATACAGAGCCCTGTGACGCAGCCGATCAGCAGGTTCCGCCCAACAATCATCGGTTGGGATGCACAGACCTCTCCCCTCTCAGCTGATCACCGAATCCCAGCTGGGAATTGTCGGTTGGGACCTGGTGATCGACATCCTCAGCAGCCAATAGCAGGGTGGGTAGGGCGGCCCCCCCCACTCGTAAATGGAAGAATCCTGTATATTTCCGTGATTTTGCACAGCGCAGCCGCCCTGCAGCAGTACATCTGTTATGGGGCGGCAGGGAAATCAGTTAAGTGGTCCAAATACCTTCTAATACATTCATTTGCATCCATCCGCAGTCCAATCATTTTTTATCGCTTGCGTATCCACATGACAATTAGTGTTCGGGATTTATCCCTTTACCACTCTTTATTTTTACTGCCGTGGCATGGTGCAGTTTTGACCCATCTGTTAGCAGCGCGTTCGGCTTTTAGCATTCCGCGCTCAAAAAATCCCCAGACTCCATGCGCAGCAACGATCGTCAGGAAAGCACGGAAGAGAATATTTCTTGTTTTACCCAAATTTTCACTATTTTTAGTTACATTTGGATATTTTGAGGCTCACGGTGATGTGCGGCGGAGGCCCATATGTTAGAGGAACATTTCTAGGAAAACAGAGGATAATCCTCGCTCGGGTTCCCCATGCAGTACATCATCATTGATGCTATTACAGTTCTAATGCGATAATGACTTGTTCCGTCTTCTGTGTGCGAATGGCTCCCGATAACAACCAAACATCCCATAATAATCCGCAGCAGAAGCAGCCGGGAAACGCAGATCGCCGCAACCTTTTTGTTGTTTTGTTGTTGAAAGATTAAACATTCCTCGTTTTCTCCTGATTGCATCGCTGTTACAGTACGGAATATTTTCATAGATGTGCACCATTTTGCGAACTTATGTTTGGGGGGGAGGGGTTGCTTTTAAAATGTTTTTTAATTGTTTTTTATATTTGTTACAAATCTATATACAGTTGTGTTCAAAATAATAGCAGTGTGTTGAAAAAAGTGAATAAAGCTGAAAATCCTTCTAATAGCTTTTATTTCCATCCACACAAATGCATTGGGAACACGACACATTCTATTCCAAATCACAACATGAAGACAAATACATCAAATTTGTGTTGTTCCTCTAAAAAAAAATGGAAGAAAAGTGAATATTAGACGGTTCAAAAAAAAATGGCCGTGTTTGTATTCTTCTTTACAAACTCAAACATTCACTATATAAACTGAGAAATGTTTGAAGATTTTGCTTTCCTTTGAATGACTTCATGAATATTTGGTTGTAGTCGCACTGTTTCTGAGAACTGCTGTACATCTGTGTTGCATGGAGTCCCCCAACTTCTGGCCCCTGTGATCAGGTATTCCAGCCCAGGATGATTGGACCACATTCCACAGTTCTTCTCTATTTCTTGGTTTTGCCTCAGAAACGGCATTTTTGATGTCACCCCACAAGTTTTCTATTGGATGAAGATCCGGGGATTGGGCTGGCCACTCCATAACGTCCATCTTGTTGGTCTGGAACCAAGATGTTGCCCGTTTACTGGTGTGTTTGGGGTCGTTGTCTTGTTGGAACACCCATTTCAAGGGCATTTCCTCTTCAGCATAAGGCAGCATGACCTCTTCAAGTATTCTGATGTATTCAAACTGATCCATGATCCCTGGTATGCGATAAATAGGCCCAACACCGTAGTATGAGAAACATCCCCATATCATGATGCTTGCACCACCATGCTTCACAGTCTTCACAGTGTACTGTGGCTTGAATTCAGTGTTTGGGGGTCGTCTGACAAACTGTCTCCGCCCACTAGACCCAAA